TTCTGTTTTCGTGATGAAACATCCCCCCAGAAAACACAAAATGATTATCGGCAGTGGCATTACTGAAGAGACTAAAGTGTTCTCTTTGTTGTTAGTTAGGGGTCCTTGTAGTTTTTAAGGTAAGAAAGAAAGGATAAAGATAAACGTGTATCCGAATACATCGGAAGTGTAAACAGTGGGAACTCCCAAGGATCAGTGTGAAAAAGGTCCTGGTCCTTGATATTTGAGAAGTAATCAAGGGCAGAAAATTCAATGAAACCTCTAATTTTTAAAATAGTAGTAGTATCAGGCCAGGCACAGTGGTTCACGCCTGTAATTCTAGCCACTTTGGGAGGCCAAGCAGGGAGGATCACCTGAGGTCAGGAGTTCAAGCCTATCCTAGGTAACACAGCTAGATCCTGTCTATAAGAAAAATAATAATTATTTTTAATGGTGATGCGTGCCTATAGTCCCAGCTACTTAGGAGGCTGAGGTGGTAGGGTCGCCTGAGCCGGGGAGTTCGAGGCTGCAGTGAGCTGTGATTGCACTACTGTGCTCTAGCCTGGTGCTCAAATAAAAAATGAAAACATAAGACTTTCAAATGGGGAAATGTCAACCTGAACAGTTTTTTAACAGATTTTGTTAAGCTTCCCAGAGACTGCGAGCACGTAGGAAAGTGGCATCTTTCCTACCTTAAAGTGTTTACACTTGTCAGTATCCTTAATTCCTTTGCCCTACTGCTGTTCCAGATCACTTGACTAGAGGCTCCAACCATGGAGCTGTTCACGAGTGCGTCTCCTCCACATCACAACTGGGAACTTACCTGACTGAGACTAGTGCTATGATAGACTGGTGGTCCCTGGCTTCAGTGTGAACTCAACCCTCAGGGCTACCCAGGAAGCACCTGGGATTTGGGGGCGTTAGCTCTGACTTCCCTTTTCATGCTTCTCAAACCCCTTACCCCATGTCTTCTCCATTGTCTTGACAGATAATCCTCACCATCCATGTCACAGAGAAAGTGGAAGTCTTCAGAAGAAACACCTTCACCTTCCTGCCATCTCATCTGCATGTCTCCTCCCACCCACATTCATCCTCTCTTTCTTTCCTATTACAGTGGAAGACTTGTTGCTTCCACTTGTCAGAAGCTAATCTTCTACCAGCCATGCCTGCAATAAAAGGAAAAGAAGAAACAAGGAAGGGCTTTTGGACATTTAAAATGGGATTGCAGAGATAAAAATTCAACGCAAGGGTCAAAAGATAAAGTTGAAGACATTTCCCAGAAGGTAAAATAATAAGAAAAAGGCCGGGCACGGCAACTCATGCCTGTAATCCCAGCACTTTGGGAGGCCAAGGTGGGCAGATCCTGAGGTTAGGAGTTTGAGACCAGCCTGGGTGACAAAGCAAGACTCTGCCTCAAAAAAAAAAAAAAAAAAGAAAGAAAGAAAGAAATGGGAAGAAGAAAATATCAGACAACTAGTTGGAGGCCCCATATATGATTAATAGAAATTCTAATAGAACCAGAAAAACAAATTTTGTCAATCAAAAACAAACTTAAGAAAGGACTTCTATACTGAAAACAACAAAACATTGCTGAAAGAAATTTAAGAAAACCTAACTAAATGAAAAGAGATCTGTGTTCATGGGTAGGAAGACTTAATATTGTTAAGATGTTAATACTATCCAAAGAGACATATAGTCAATACAATCCCTATCAAAATCTCAGCTGATTATTTTTTCTTGCAGAGAAATGGAAAGACAGATCCTTAAATTCCAATGGAGTTGCATGGGGCCTCAGCCCCATCTTGATAAAGTATAACAAAGTTGGAGAACAAACCAATTTCTTTCTTCTTTTTTTTTTTTTTTTTTTTTTTTTGAGACAGAGTTTTGCTCTTGTTTCCCAGACTGGGGTGCCATGGTGCAATCCTGGCTCACTGCAACTTCTGCTTCCCGGGTTCAAGCAATTCTCCTGCCTTAACCTCCAGAGTAGCTGAGTTTACAGGCACCTGCCACCATGCCTAGCTAATTTTTGTATTTTTAGTAGAAATGGTTTTGCCATGTTGGCCAGGCTGGTCTTGAACTCCTGACCACAGGTGATCCTCCCATCTTGGCCTCTCAAAGTGCTAGAATTATAGGTGTGAGCCACCACACCCAGCCAGAACAAATCAATTTCAAAACTCAGTGCAAAGTCATAGTAATCAAAACAGTGTGTGCTGGCATAAGAACAAATAGGCCAATAGGATACAATTGTAAGTCCAGAAATAAATCTATACATTTATAACCAATTGATTTTCAATAAGAATGCCAAATCCATTAAATGGGGAAAGAACAGTTTCTTCAACAGAGTCTGGGGCAACTGGATTTCTATGTGCAAAAGAATGAAGTTGGATACCCAGCTCACCCCATATTCAAGGATTAACTCAAAATGGATTGATGAGCTAAATATAAGAACTAAAACTATATGCAGAGGTACCTTGCAAGGAAAGAAAAAAAAGAAATTTAAAAAAAAGAACTAAAACTATAAAATATAAAACCCTGAGAAGAAAACATAGAGTTGTATCTTTATGACCTTGCAATTGGCAATGAATTCCTAGCTATGACACCAAAAACATAAGCAACAAAAGAAAAATAAATTGAACTTCATCAAAATTAAGACTTTTGCACATCAAAGGACAGTATCAAGAATGTGCAAAGCACCTACAGAATGAGAGAAAACATTTGCAAATTTTGTAAGGGTTTGATATCTTAAAATACATAAAGAACTCCTAAAACTGAGCGACAAAAAGCCCAGTTAAAATGGGCAAACCACTGGAACAGATATTTGTCCAAAAAAATATAAGCAAGTGGCCAGTGAACCCATGAAAAGTTGCTCAACATCATTAGGCCTGAGGGAAATGCAAATTCAAGCCACAATGAGATATCTATCTATCAATTTATTTATTTTGAGTCAAAATCTCACTCCATTGCCCAGGCTAGAGTGCAGTGGTGCAATCTCAGCTCACCGCAACCTCTGCCTCCCAGGTTCAAGCAATTCTGCCTCAGCCTCCTGAGTAGATGGAACTACAGGCATGCATCACTGTGCCTGGCTAATTTTTTGTGTTTTCAGTAGAGACAGGATTTCACTATGTTGACCAGGCTGGTCTTGAACACCTGACCTCAGGTGATCCATCCTCCTCAGCCCCCCAAAGTGCTGGTATTACAGGTGTAAACCACCATGCCTGGCCCAGATACCATTTTATAGTCATTATGATTATCTTTTTTTTTTTTTTTTTTGAGACAGAGTCTCACTCTGTTGCTAGGCTGGAGTTCAGTGGCGCGATTTCGGCTCACTGTAACCTTCGCCTCCCAGGTTCAAGCAATTTTCCTGCCTCAGCCTCCCAAGTAGCTGAGACTACAGGCATGCGTCACCACGCCTAGCTAATTTTTGTATTTTTAGTAGAGACCATTTCACCATGTTGGCCAGAACAGTCTTGATCTTTTGACCTTGTGATCCACCTCCCTCGGCCTCCCAAAATGCTAAGATTACAGATGTCAGCCACTACACCCGGCCAGATGGTTATAATTTTTTTTTTTTTTTTTTTTTTTGAGACAGAGTTTCGCTCTTGTTACCCAGGCTGGAGTGCAATGGCGCGATCTCGGCTCACCGCAGCCTCCGCCTCCTGGGTTCAGGCAATTCTCCTGCCCCAGCCTCTTGAGTAGCTGGGATTACAGGCACGCGCCACCATGCCCAGCTAATTTTTTGTATTTTTAGTAGAGACGGGGTTTCACCATGTTGACCAGGATGGTCTCGATCTCTCGACCTCGTGATCCACCTGCCTCGGCCTCCCAAAGTGCTGGGATTACAGGCTTGAGCCACTGCGCCCGGCCAAGTTTCACTTTTTATTTGAAATTCTTCTGATAAGTGGGAATTTTTTGATACACTTTATGCAATCAATACCATTATGTGGGATGTTTTGGGGTTTTTGTAACCAGCTCTGGGAGAGCCAGGGAGAAGGAGCTTGGTGTCGCAGCAGCAGGAGCTCTGGAAAGGGGCAGAACCTTGTGTGCTGCCCTGATTTGCTCTATGCACTTGGACCAGCCGCCTCCCCTATCTGGACCAGGGCCAGACATGTGCTGCCATGTGTGTTGGTGGAGGTGGGGTGTGTGACCATGCAGGGCTCCTCCAGAGCACAGTAGAGCAGCCGGTGTTTGAGGCACTAGCATTACTGGAAAGTTGTTGACATTTTAATGGAAAGGCAGTGGAGGAAGCAGTGTGAGTCAGCCTGCTGAGGAGGGGCCACGGGGCAGTTTTCCTTACCTGTACAGGGGTTGAGGACCTGCCTGTGCTTTGAGTTAGAACCCAGGGCCTGGAAAGCTTTGGGACAACCCTGAAAAAACCTTCCCTTTTCTCCAGGGTGAGCTAATCTCTGGTTCCTGAGCCTCAAATCTCGGAAGGGCAGAGTGGGGCATAGGTTTCAACTCAGCTGTGATTCTCCTAGGGTGGTGCCAGGGCAGTGCTAGGGAGGGTAAGCCCTGGGTGGCAATCTTTGGCTCAACACAAGAGAGTGCCAGAGGCTGGCCCAGCCCTGGAAGTTTCCATGAAAGGGCTGAGCACAGAGGCTGGTGGCCCCCATTAGGGAAGGGGTGGAGGAGAGGGTTGTGTGAGACCAGCCTTTCAGTTGCCACTTCACCAGATTCCAAGCGAAAGAGAAGATGACTCAGAGTAGGAAATGGGGAAGGCTGTATAGGAGTCAGCATTTAATCTGGACCTTGAGAATGTGCGGCGGTCCCAGTGTTGAAAGGGACTTCGAAGACCCGCCCTCCAGCAGGACACAGCATCCATCACCAAATCACATGGGGCTCGAGGAGCTGAAGTTAGTTGCCCATGGTCACATAATTTAAGTTGTGCTTTTAAAAATGCAGAAGGTCCCCCGGCCAGGGCCTGTCCAGGAGCCAGTGGGTGCAGCCAGCTTGGTAATTCAGTCCAGTGGTTAATTAGTAACTGGAAGGCCCCAAAGCCAGCTTCCAGCAGGCAGGGCTGGGAGGTTGAACTTGAGCCGGCTTGGGAGCCAGGAGCGAGTGGGTGACAGGTCGCTCCTGACTGGGAAGGTTGCTGGGCAAGTCCGGATTGTGCCTCCTCTCAGAAGGACCATGTAGAGAGAGAAGAGGGCAGAGCCGTGCATGGGGCTGCTCCCCAGGACCCGAGCTGGAACCTGGAGTTTTCAGGTGAGAGGTTCACCTGTGATAAGGTTACCTGCCTGCTGGCCTGTTGGTCTCCAAATTGACTATTATCTAGCTAACATCCTTCCTAGTACCTTTTTTACTTTCTTTCCTTTCTCCCTTCCCAACTTCTTTCCCCTCTCCCTCCTTTCTTGCCTTCCTTCCCTCCCAACTAACTCTGCTTTTTCAGCTGCCTAATTTTCTTCCTCCTTAACTAACCAACTTACATCTTCAGTTCATTTTGACTAACTTCATTTTTTCCTTTTCTAGCTTTCTAATGTCTTCCTGAAATTCCAGGCCATGGGCTCTGCAGTCAGATGGCCTGGGTTCAAATCCTGGTTATATCATTTATTAACTGTCTTGATCACGTCACTTCCCTCTCCTTGCCTCGGTTTTCTCCTCCGTAAGACAGGGATGATCATAGTTTCTAACCCATGGGGTTGCGGGAACAAAATAATATCAAGCTTTCACTTGAACTGGACAGGTGTGTAAATGAACAAGTTACAGTGAAGACAGAGACAGCAGCAGGTGCCTGGGATCCGGGGGAGATCTGCCTTCTAGGAAGGGCAATGAGAACAGATGAAAAGGTGAGCTGGAAAGACCAGGTTTGTTGGGGAATGTTCCAAGGAGAGAGAACTGTGTGACACTGCCGCCCATTTGTCAGGGCCAGGGAGCTGTAAGCAGGTCCATGTAACAATGGGACAGAGGGAGGCAAGTCTGGGCTGTGACAAGTTAGGAAAGGGATAGGGTTGAGGACGCGTGAAGGGGCTCGCGTGGGAGTTCATGGAGTCTGAAGAGTCAGGAGAATATACCGATGTCCAGATTCTGGCCAGAAAATTAGAACATCATGGTGCAAGAGAGAAGAAAGCCTTAGGAACTGAGGACCGCTTGGGCATGGGGGGTCACAGTCAAGGTGATGGGGGAGGATGTGATGGGCCATGGGCATGCCAGAGTTCCCACCAGGTTCCCACCAGGAACTTAGTACTTGAGTATTAACTCAACAGCAATATCTTGAGAAGGTTTACACAATAGTAGAAAGATAAAAGTTAAAAAAACCTGCAAGTGGTCAGGCGTAGTGGCTCATGCCTGTAAATCCAAGCACTTTGGAGGCCAAGGCGGGCGGATCACCTGAGGTTGAGAGTTCAAGACCAGCCTGACCAACATGGTGAAACCCCATCTTAAAAAAAAAAAACACCGAACTGCGGGCACGGTGGCTCACCACCTGTAATCCTAACACTTTGGGAGGCCAAGGTGGGCTGATCACCTGAGGTCAGGAGTTTGAGACCAGCCTGGCCAACATGGTAAAACCTCATATCTACCAAAAATACAAAAATTAACCGGTGTCGTGTCATGTGCCTGTAATCCCAGTTACTCAGAAGGCTGAGACAAGAGAATCGCTTGAACCCTGGAGGCAGAGGTTGCAGTGAGCCAAGATCGGGCCACTGCACTCCAGCCTGGCGACAGAGCAAGTCTCTGTCTCAAAAAAAAAAAAAGTTAAAATAAACTAAGCACCCTCTGTGACCTTGGGTCATGCCCCTCCAGTCTTTTTTTTGGCGGCTGTATTCACAAATGTGTATTCACATACATATCTTTTGTTTTTCTTTTACAAAATTGATACTTCTACAATACCTACTATTTTGTGAAACTTGACTTTTTGCTTGATATTATATCACATATACGTTCCTGTTTTGGTTTATAGTTTTGGTTGTGTAATTTTCCGTTTTATATGTGCACCAAAATTTATCAATTCATTTATTGATTCATGAGTCAAATATGTACTGAGCACCTACTATATTCCAGGCCCTGTGCCCAGTGCTGAGGATTCAATAGTTGAACAAAGTCTTTGCCCTCCTGGAGCCGATGTTCTACTTTGAGTTAGAAAGTAAAAACTAATAGTTACATGATAAGGCATCAGTGCTACAAAGTAAAATATAAAGCAGACAGAGTGTATAGGGATTGAGGAGGACTGGTATCAGAGTGATAAACACCCTGGTTGGCCCAGGACTATAGCACTGAAACCCATCAGTCCCGTCAAATCAGGATGACCCGTCACCTGCAATCAGTACAAGCCCCTCCAAGAGGTGATGTTTAAGCAGAAACCTCTATAATGTTAGTGGAAAACGGCCATGCAGACCCCTGGGGGAAGAGTGTCATAGGCAGAGGGAAAAATAAGTGCAAGGGGCTGGAGGCCAGAGAGCAATTTGTGTGTTTGAGGGGCAGCAAGAGAAAGCAGAGAGGCTGAGGGCAGTCAGGAAGGAGGGCAGTGGAGGCCAAGGAGGAGATGGAGACAGCAAGACAGCAGCCAAGTCATATGGATCATGTAAACCTGGTAGAGGCTTTGTATTTTAATTCCAGGTGTGATGAGAAGCCACTGGAGTTTTTGAGCAACTAAGGCACATGATCTGATTTACATTTTAAGACTCACCCTGGCTTTCCATGGAGAAAGATTGTTGTGGGTAAATGGAGTGGGTGGGTAAATGTCATGAGTAAAGGGAGTCAGTGGAGAAGCTGTTGCAATAATCCACACAAGTGACGATGGAGGCTCGGGCGGGGCGACTGCAGCAACAATGGTGAGCAGCAGTGGTTTCTGGATATATTTTGAATGGGATTTCATGATGAAGTGGAGGTGGAGTGCGGGTGCAAGGCTTCTAGAGTGAATCAAAGTTGCTGGCTTGAACTTTTGAGTACGTGATAAGGCCATTGTTGAGGCTGAAGACTGAGGGAGGAGCAGGGGCAGAGTGGAAGGAATGTGAATCAAGACTTATGTAAGTCCAGAGTTCAGGAGAGAATCAGAACTAGGCTGGGCATGGTGGCTCATGCCTGTAATCCCTGCACTTTGGGAGGCCAAGGCAGGTGGATCACTTGAAGTCAGGAGTTTGAGACCAGCCTGGCCAACATAGTGAAACCTCATCTCTACTTAAAAAAACACAGAAATTTGCTAGGCGTGGTGGTGGGCGCCTGTAGTCCCAGCTACTCAGGAGGCTGAGGCAGGAGAATCACTTGAACCCAGGAGGCAGAGGTGGCAATGAGTTAAGATAGTGCCACTTTATTCCAGCCTGGGCAACAGAGCAAGACTCTGTCTCAAAAAACAAAAAAGAAAAGAAATAGGAAAAAAAGGAGAATCAGAACTAGAGAGAGAGATTTGGGAACTGACAAGTATAATTGGTTAAACCATTAAAATGGTAGCGATCAACTAAGGAACAAGTACATCTGGAAGAGGCCCACAGACTAAGCCCTGGGATAGGCCTGTGTTTAAGGATCAAAAGAGGAGGAAAATCCAGCACAAGAGATGGAGGAAGAGCAGTCAGTGAGCTAGAAGGAAAAAACCAAGAGTTCCTGAGCCAAATGGGGGACGTGAGAGCATCGAATCCTTCAGAGAAGTTGAGTATGATGAGGAGGAACTCATCATGGGCTTTGGCACATGGAGGTCACTGGCCCACGGTTTCATGGAAGTGTTGGGATGAGAGCCTGTTTGGAATAGGCTCAAAAGAGAACAGGAAGAGAAGTGGAGACAAGGAGTCCAGACAACTCTTTCAAGGAGTTTAACTGAAAAGGGGTACAAAGAAATGGGATAGTATCGGGACACGGTGTATGGTCAAGAGAGGGAGTTCTTGCAGCCGGCAAGTGTTCTGAAGTGCCCTGTGCTGGGACACTTAGGTGTCACTATCAGCACAATTATTTTGCTGTTATAAATAATGCTGCTGATTGAAGGCCACATCAGGATCTTGTTTTTTGAAAAGAAATGTCCTTGCTCTGGGTATGTGTTTTGTCAACACGACATCCTGCTGCTCATGAATTGGTTCCACATTTCTGTTTTGTTCAAAGATGGAAGGCTTTGATATTGTGCACTCGGGTTTTCTCTGGTCAACACTTGCAGATCCTCTGCATTTCAGAGCCCACAGAGAAACCCTGAGGCCACTGGCCTCAGTTCCCTCCCTGACCAACTTTCTGGGCCCTAGCACCATGTGTCCCTCCCCTGTAGTATACTGTAGCCACACAGAGAGTTCGAGAAGGGCAGGGCCTGTGGGCCCATCGACTCCTTCATTCCCCAGAACACCTGCCCACCCCTTGAGCTCCTAGGGAGAGGAAGGGGCCCTATGAATACCTAATGACCGCCCCAGGCAGTGAGGCCTCCATGAGCCATGGTGCTCTCTGCGACAGTTTCTTACACAGTACGAGAGCCATAGGCCCACCAGGCCTGCCCTGAGGACTGGGCCGCAGTCCTTGAGGGGCCTGCAGGGAAAGGCCCAAAGGACCAGGTGCTCAGCAAAGACCAAGACAGGCCAGACTGAGCCAGACACCCAGGCTCCAGGTTCCTTCCTCTGAAACATGTGTAGGCTTTTGGGAGGCGGAGGGCTCTCAGCTGCCGTGGCTGACATCTGTGGGAGCGCTTCTTCAGTTCCAGATGATCTACACAGGGATCATATACACAGGCCCCCTAGGTGTGAGCAAATTTGCTGATATACACCAATATGAACACAAACACACGATGACTTACCTATACACACATATTAATAGACACCCATACTGGTCTGAACACACACCTTCAGACATCCACATACAGACTCACACTCCACTGACATGTACTACACAGAGACACACTGAAACACATCCATATACACACCACGCACGATGCACACAGTCACAGGTGCACAGACACAGGCTAACATAAATGTACAGATGTGGTCACACTGACACATACATGCGGTCATCTACGCAGACTCATACAAACAGACACAAATGCTTGAAACACAGAGCCACAGACAGACACACATGAAAGCACTCTATGCACAAAACACTTGAACAGCACACACCCTGACCCACACAGTCTAACAAGCCCCAGGGGTCTCCAGGGCTCCCCTGGGTCTATTGCCCACCCCTACCCCCCTCCCCTCCAGGGTGAGATGGTGTCCCTCAGGGAACAGAAGTCTCCAGTCCCATCTTAAGCTCTGCTGGATCCCGCGTGACATCAGCCAGCCCCCTCACTGCTGCTGCCGCTGGGAGCTGTGAGCTCTGTGCTGGGGCCGGCCGGCACTGGGCACAGACACTTAGGCCCTTGTTGGGAGAACAGAGAGAGGCTCTCTTGTCCACTGCCTGTCTTCGGTTCCAGCTGCTGGTTCTCCTAGAGGCCTCTCCTCAGATTTGCAGGTATGTGGGACCTGGGAGGCCAGGGCCTGGCAGAAGGGCCATCAGCCTAGGAGAGGGAGTGGCAGTGTGGTGGGCCGTGTGGCATTGGTGAGGGGCAGCCTGCGCTTCCTTAGCCAGCAGTTCTGCAGCTTGCTCCTAGGGCTTGGCAGCGCTGGGCCTCTCAGAGCACCTGGGCTGGGGGAGCCTCTCAATTCAATTCCCCTTCACTTTCTCTGTTCCCAAGAAGGCCATGAGGTTGGTGTCTCCAGGATCCCTCTTGTAAAGATGGGAAGTCTCTACTCAGAGAGGCTGGGCCCAGGCCCCACTGTGGGCCAGGACTAAGGTCTCGGGATGCACAGTGCTGGGAGATCTCTCAGGTGAGATCTCTGCTCTCAGTCTTTGCCAAGCAAGGATGAGGTTGTGGGGCCCCAAGCAATCTGTGCCAGGGCCTGGGCACCCTGGCCTCCTCTCCGCTGCAGGGTGGAAACAAGGAAGACACTACTGCTGGCTTCGTAGATCAGCTGGTCACACCTTCTCTTTTTTGGTCCCAGATAGATGCTTGTCAGTCTTGAGTCTCTCTGTGGCCCCAGCCCAAGGCTTCCAGGGCAGCTGCCATTCCTGAGGCATTGGGCAGAATTCCTTCTGGCAAGGAGGTAATAGCACAGAGCCCAGGTGAGAGTTCCCACAGTAATTCAGGATTGCCATTTTTCCTTTATGGGGTCCGGAGAGCCCAGCCTATGCTTCACAAACTGTGTAGCCTTAGGAAGGTCCTGTTTTAGGCCACAGGCCTTTCACCTGTGAAATGGGAGAAGGGTTCAGACTTCATGCCCTGAAAAGGTCCTTCCAGCCCTGCTCATCTTGGACTTCTGGAGCTACCCTGGCTCACAGAGGTCTTGTTGCCCTGGCTGACCCCAATTCTTGAAAAGACTCAACCTGGGAGGGGCCACACCCTGACCATCCCCCCCATCCCCTCTGAGATGTGTGTTAGGAAGTCTGGGTCCAGGGATATCATGTCTTGTTCTGTCCATGCAAGGATTGCTTACCTCTGAGGTAGGAAACCCTCAGGCTGTGGCGGGTGCACAAGTAGGTGAGGCTGGAGAGGGCACTGGTGCCTGAAGCCCTGGATGGGTGAAGTTGTCCCCCAACACCAGCTCTCTCATGTCTGTGCCTTCCTGTGCCCCCAGAGCACCCTGATCATTGCTACAGAATGAACTCTAGCCCAGCTGGGACACCCAGTCCACAGGTAAGTAGTTCTTGGTCCCCCACCCATCATCAGGGGCTCACTTCCTCCCGAGGCAAAGGAAATCTGTGGAGACACCCACTAGCCCCGTGGGCTGTCCCAGACAATGTCAGGGGCTGACAGGGTCACTGCGAGCACTTAGAAATGAGCCAGAGGAGAGATTTGAGCAAGGGCTCCAAGATGGAGTGGAAAAATCATGGGATTTGTCATGAAGATACCTGGGTTCTATCCCAGCCTGCTTGCCTGTGAGACCTTGGGCAACACCTCTCTGGGCTCAGTTTCCTCACCTATTCAATTAGCACAATAGCCAGCTGCCTCCCAAGGCTGTTTTGAGAAGTGGGTAAGATGGTGAATAAGTGGATTGGTGGGCGGGTGGATAGGTGGACAGAAGGAGGGAGGGAGGGAAGGAGGGAGGGAGGAAGGAAAGGAAGGAAGGAAGGGAGGAGGGAAGGAAGGGAGGGAGGGAGGGTGGGAGGGAGGAATGAAGGAAAGGAAGGGAGGGAGGTATGGAGAGAAGGAAGGAAGGAAGGGAGGGAGGGAGGAAGGAAGGAAGGAAGGAGAAAAGGAAAAAAAAGAAGGCAGGCAGGCCTAGAAGAGTCGTTGGAGACGGCATCAGGGCCTGGGCCAGGAGAAAGGAAGGTAGCCCAGGACTAGGGACCTGCTGATTGCAATCACTTCTTTCTGTAGCCCTCCAGGGCCAATGGGAACATCAACCTGGGGCCTTCGGCCAACCCAAAGTGAGTTCTGGTCCCTCAAACACCTTTCCTACTTGACTCCCCTCATACCTGGCTCCCCTTGCCTTGGGAATACAATCCAAATTCTCTGTTCTAGCATTCAAGACTCTCTGCCGTCTGCGCCCAGGACCTCCCCCAGCCTTATCTCCCATGAATCCCCAGCCTCTGCCCAGGCTGAACCCTCTTCCTGCAATGCCCCCCAAATGTCTGCAGTGTTAACAGCTCCCCACACTTCAGGCCCTTTTAGGGGGCTTTGGCTCCAGATCCCTGCCTCCTATGCAGGCCTTCTGTGCAGTATGTCTGGTTTTATCTTCACCCTGCCTGTTGTTTAACTTGTATTTGAGTTCCCCTGGGGCCAGGGTGAGTCTTACGAGCCCCCCCTTGGCTGGGAGAACATGGGGTTCTTGAGGGGTGAGGAGGCACGGCTTCCGGAAGGCTTTCCCCACTCTAAAGTTAAAAGGAAGCCCAGGTTTGCTCTCAGGCAGCAGGTTCCCAGAGCTTGCAAACGCTGATCTGTGTTTTTTCCTCTTCCCCCAGTGCCCGGCCCACGGACTTCGACTTCCTCAAAGTCATTGGCAAAGGGAACTACGGGAAAGTGAGTGACTTGGTGAGGGTGGGAAGCCTGGGTCTTCCCTTCGGTAGCCTCTTTCAGTCCCTGCTGGCATTGGATATGCAGAGAGAGAGCTCTCACACCTGCAAGGCAAAAGCAGGGGCAGGCGGGAGGCCCTGCACTGTTGTCAGGAATCCAAAGTCACCCACAGGGCCTCAGATTCGTGTTTCTGCTCAGGTCCTACTGGCCAAGCGCAAGTCCGACGGGACGTTCTACGCGGTGAAGGTGCTGCAGAAGAAGTCCATCTTAAAGAAGAAAGAGGTATTTGAGCCCAGACATTTCCTCTTCTGCTTCTCAAGCCCCAGGCTAGGGTGGCTTTCAAAGATGGGTCCCACCTCTGACAGGTCCATTGGGTTGGGTGCAGAGGTGGTCACAACACAGGGTAGAGGGGAGGTGGCACGCAGGGTGCTGGCCCTTCTTTTTTTTTTTGAGATGGAGTCTCGCTCTGTCACCCAGGCTGGAGTGCAATGGCACGATCTCAGCTCACCGCAACCTCCGCCTCCTGGGTTCAGGCAATTCTCCTGCCTCAGCCTCCTGAGTAGCTGGGATTACATGGCCCTTCTTAAAGAAAGCAGGCCAAGCTACCTCACCATAGGGCTTTCAGGAAAACCAGCCTGGCTTTGGCTTCCCCTGGGAAACGCAATGGATAACGCTTCTGCCTGCTCCTATGCCAACCTCCCCATCTGTATAATGTGGAGTTCCACTTTATTCTCTCTGAAGTCCCTTCATGCTATCAGGTCATCTGGCTGGAATGCAGTAGTGCAATCACAGCTCACCGCAGCCTCAAACTCCTGGGCTCAAGCAATCCTCCAGCCTCAGCCTCCCAAAGTGCTGGGATTAGAGGCATGGGCTACCATGCACAGCACATCATAGATTTCTCTTTCTTTGTTGAGATGGAGTCTCGCTCTGTCACCCAGGCTGGAGTACAGTGGCACAATCTCAGCTCACTGCAACCTCCGCCTCCTGGGTTCAAGTGATCTCATGCCTCAGCCTCCTGAGTAGCTGAGATTAAAGGCACCTGCCACCACTCCCAGCTAATTTTTGTATTTTTAGTAGAGACAGGGTTTTGCCATGTTGGTCAGGCTGGTCTCAAACTCCTGGCCTCAAGAGATCCGCCAGCCTCAGCCTCCCAAAGTGCTGGGATTACAGGCATGGGCTACCACGCCCAGCCCCATCATGGATTTCTTGATGCTTCAGCTGACCTGAGTTCCTTTAACACCTGACTCCATTAGTGGGCCAGAACAGGCCCAGAGAGAGGATTGCATAGGAGATCAGGGGACTCAGAGGAAAGAGTGATTAATGTTCACAAGGACTCTGTAGGGGGCGGGAAGGGAAGATCTTCCTGGGGGAGGCAGCGGTGCAGCTGGCCTTGGTGGGATTCTGATGGTCTGAAAAGAGGGTGCAACGTCAAGGAAGAGGAAATAGCACAAGCAAATGCATGAATATGGGTAGTGTATGGCTCCTTCCCTTAGGGACTCATTTATATAAGGCATCATACATGCTTTGCTTTTCACTCCAGGGGCAGAAACCATTGATCCAGGGGCTGGAGCTGCATCCACATGGATTAGCTTAGGATGAGGCTGACCACCCGGAGCCTTGAATCCTAAGCAAGGAACTTGGGCATGGCTCTGAGGGCCATAGGGAGCCATTGTGGGTGTTTGAGCAGGGGCAAGGGAAAGTCCTGAGTAGGATGACTCCTCCCAGCAAGCTTATATGGGCTGTGCCGGGATAAAAGGGGCTGCTGTGCACTGTGACGTGGACCCCTGTCTTTGTGACCCCACAGCAGAGCCACATCATGGCAGAACGCAGTGTGCTTCTGAAGAATGTACAGCACCCCTTCCTCGTGGGCCTGCGCTACTCCTTCCAGACACCTGAGAAGCTCTACTTTGTGCTCGACTATGTCAACGGGGGAGAGGTGGGTGGGCTCACTGGGAGGCTTCCGTGGGCTGGCTCTCAGTTGGGAGCTGTCCATCCCACATGGCCACTGCATGTCAAGTTCTGGAATGATCTCACCTCATCTTACAATAGACCCACTTTGAAGCTGAAGAAACTGAGGCTCAGGGAGATAATCATTTGCTCAAGGCCACCCAGCCCATACCTGGTGGAGTCAGGATTTGAATTCAGGTCTGTTAGACTCCCCGCCATGATGCTTTCTTGCCTTCCTCATTCAGAGTTGCCCACAGAATCGCACTTTAATAGACCTGGGAAAGGCCAATGTTTGGAGGAGCTCATGGTCAAGGTTTCTAGTCCTCCCATTTTACACCATAGGCCACAGGGTAGGATTGACTGGTCACTGTGGTAAACAGAGACCTGAGGCCACATGGTGACCCAGAAGCACAGTTGGGACAAGCGGGGCTCCCTCCTGGGCTTCACTCTGTCTCTCTGGTCAAGATGGCAAAATGTAATAGGGCTCCACTCAGTGACCCCAGATTTAACTTGTGTGACCTCATGCCTTTCAGAATGATGCCAAGAGGTGAGTTTTGTTTTTGTTTTTGTTTTTGTTTTGAGATGGATTCTCACTCTGTCGCCCAGGCTGGAGTGCAGTGGTGCGATCTCAGCTCACTGAAACCTCCACCTCCCAGGTCCAAGTGATTCTTCTGCCTCAGCCTCCTGAGTAGGTGGGATTATAGGCGTATGCCACCACACCTAGCTAACTTTTGTATTTTTAGTAGAGATGAGGTTTCACCGCATTGGTCAGGCTGGTCTCAAACTCCTGACCTCGTGATCCACCCCCCCTCGGCCTCCCAAAGCGACCGTGCCCAGCCGGGGTTGTCCTGCATCCCTAAGTGAAGGGCTTTCCATGCCAGCAAAAAAGTCCAAAATCATTGGCCCATGGGTGGATCTAACCTGGGCTCAGTCTGGCAACCATATCATCTTATTGCCTAGATTCATGGAAAAGCATATTTTTGAACCACAAAGGTTCAGATGCCAGCTCTGCCAATTATAAGCTACGTGACCTTGGGCAAGTCACCTAACCATTCCGACCCCTCCCAGCTTCCTCTTACATGAAACTAGCATAACATTTGCACCTTGAAGGTTGTCATGAGGATTAAGAGATGTGAAAGGGCCTGACTTGGAACCTGGAACACAGGAGGTGCTTAGGCAATGCTAACTCATCTCTTTTTCTGCTGACTCTTTGGACACCCGGGACTGCTGTGTGGGGGCAAGGGCCAGCATGCACTCTTTTGGTATGAAGACGCTGCAGATCAGAAAGGGAGTGAGCTGGGCAGCTGCACAGGGTGGGGAGCACGTGGGCCCTAGTCCTACAGCACCCACCCAGTAGCTCCTCTCACACTCCTCCTCCCACACTCCTCCTCCCACACTCCTACTCCCAC